CCTTCAGGTTGAAATTACCGTCTTTGAAACGCGAAAACCATCGACGAGCTGTCCTTTCATTCATAGCATCTTCACTGTACACTGCGCAAATATCGCGAGCAGCTTGAGCAGCTTTATTCCCTTGATTGAACGTGAACAGAAGGAGGTGTTGAAAGTGCTCACTTTTGTCTACTTGACATTCCATTTCGAAGACCTGTAATTAAATAAAATAATAAATGTAACTAAAGGCAAACACAATATCTTGTGGAGCAGAAAATTTTCTTTCAAATGACGTATAACCTTTGCCAATGTGTTTTACTTTTGGCACACATTTTTAAATTTGAAAAAAACGGACACTACTTATGTTAACACCCAATACTTGTACTATCTCAATGGGACAAGCTGAACACGCATCACTTTTTGCAAATGGGAGCACAACATGAGTAGCTATGAGTGCTACAAAGATTTTCTCCTTTTAAGTCTCATGACTTGCAATAGTACCTATTATTTGGATGTCCAAATTCAGATATGGAAAAATCAAGTTCAGACACTTTCACTTTAGCTTGAATGCCCCCATTTTAAAGCCTCAAAGAAGCATGAAACTCTCCATTGGGGTGTTGAGGAATGAAAACCTGAATGAAAAAACAAGTCATTGAACCTTTCCTCTATTTTTTATTAAAATATATATGCAATCCTTAGTGCCTGATTCAGTCAGTGACTGATGTTAATTCTAACCATGTTCTCGATGAGATAGAAAGATGAAACTTGATGCAAGAATAGTTTTATGGTGCTGACTTCAGAGAAAATCTGACTTTGAAGATAGATTCCCCTGGGGGACATTTTTTTCAGGAGGAAGTTTTCAAATATATTATTTTGCTTCAGCAAAACGGAGAGTATAATAAATGCATAGCCATGGGTAGGCAGAGGGTTTCTTCCAAGAGACACCATATTTGGACAACCAAAGGGATCATGATTAAGATGCCTCTGGAAATCAAAGACTTTGGATTTATCAGCGAATATCTCATGATTTCTCCCTGGAAACAAGAGAAAAACCATTGGGAGTTGTGTTTTCTGCAATGATTTTGAGCACATCATGGTACTGTATTTGAAAAATGCTCTGCTCAAGAGGGCCAAAAAGCCATGAGATTAATCCAAGAGATCCTCTGAAACAGCATGTATAATTACCTTTGTAGCAAATCAGTGACCAAAATGGGAGTAAAAAAACAGTTCCTGAAAATTCAATTACTTTAAGAAATATGATATCATGACTTGACCTTTCAAGTCAGCTTCCTCCAGGAAGTGGCTTTCAAAATGCAGCAACTAGAATTTAATTAATAAATTCATCATTCAGCAGCATTAACTATTGGTTAGAGGTCACTTTACAACCAGGGCCAGATTAAGGTTATAAGGGGCCTAAGGTTAATGGGAGGGAAGGGCCTAAATATGAATTACATATTGCAACAACAAAAAAATGGAGTGGAGGGCCTAAAGAATGGCCTCAAAATATTAGGGCCTAAGGCTATAGCCTTATTTATTAGCCTATGGGTTAAACTGGCCCTGTGTGCAACCTCTAGGGAGCCCCTTAAACAATTACTTTCCCTGTTTGAATCCCAGACTGTTGACTTTTCCTTCCAAATACCTTAACAGAAAAATGGAATTAAAAAAGAGATCCAAAAACCAATGCTGACAGCCATTTGGCTCTAAAATAATTGTTAATGCCTCAACTTGAGCTACTGTATCAGATGCCTGATCAGCATTGCACAAAACTGCTTTGTGCATTCAATTGTACTATGAAATTTTGGAATAATTTACCTAGATTTTGGGAATTTCACTTAATTATGGATTGCCTGTTAAAATGGAAAAGGCTTTGTAGGCAATATCTTAGGCTTGATTTAATCTCTGATCCAACTTGAATGGGTTTAGTCACATAAATTTGTTGAACAAGCTCAGTAATAGTCTAACATACCAAAATGGAATGAGTCTGGAGAAGATGATGGAACAGTAAGGACGTCTGGCCAGATGTCAAGGGAATGAGATATCAGGGTGGGGACGAGGTCTCTCACAGGAGAGCGAGCAAGAGAAGTGAGGAGGGCAAGAGACTGCATGGCAACAATATCTGCCCATCCCTTCTCTTTACACAAGAGTGTCTCAAACTCCACCAGCCATAACAGCCTTTCCTCTCCAATCTCCTCCTTCAATATTTCAAAAACAAAGCACCATATTTAGAATTCCATCTGTCATATTATTCAAATTATTTATTCATAAGGAAATTGACTGAGTTAAGTAAAAAAAAAACTTGGCTCAGAGTTTTTTTTTTCATGAGTATATTCTGGTTATTTGGGAACCAGAAGTAATTGAAAAATATTGTTGTATAATTGTTGCATTGTTGGATTTTGTTATAAAAAATACTGTTTATCAACAATAAACTATGAAATACAATTTTTCATGCGTACCTCTGCACACCATCCTGCACTTAGAACACCTGGTACATCTGGATTGATGATAGGAAAGATCAGCTAAAAAATGTCAATGAGCAGCTTATCTGCCAATGGAACTGGGATTAGATGATCTTACACTTACGTAGTTATTTATTTACTTATTTTTCATTTTGTCCTTCAGGCTTCGGCATCAGCAGCTTGCAACCCAACGTTGGCCATGGTGTCAATGGTGCAACACCAGAGGCCAATCTTGGTGGTTGTCAATAAGTTGATGCAGCACTGATTTATTTAAAATATTCATAATGTCAAAACTTATACTGTTTTTTATGATTGAAAAAAAAAACCCTCTACCATTTTCTGTGGGAGAAACACAGTTTCTTAAATGCAGCCAAAATTTTTTGCATTGGATACACAATCAATATTGGACAATTACCAGGTGTTGAAATGTGGGTCAGCTTTTTTTCAGCACCCATGCTAAGTTGTGCAATGCCCATTATTGTGAATTAAAGGTGCTTAGAGGTGGATCATCCCACCTTAAGTGACATGCGCTCGATCGTCTCAGAATTCAATTAAATTTGGCAAACAGTAGGATTATTTTGAGAATATCCTGTAGACAAAAACATATCCATGTACTTTGAAGGCCAATAAAAGTGAGCTTTAATTTGATGGGGTTGGGGGTTGGGAGTACAAAATGGCCCCCAACCCCAAGGTGCTAAAGGAGTTAGCCCAAATTTGGCAGCATCTCAAAATTTGATTTGAGTAGTTTTTCCAGTTTTGGACAAAATTGACTTCAAGACCATATCTTTCGAAAGGTTCTCAGATGCAACTGATTTTTTGGCAGAGAGACTCATGTAAGTTTCAAGGGCTCAAAAATTTGTGAACATACAGGGTGACCCAAAAGCCCCTTACTATTTTTCGGAAGGAGTAGTAGCAGAACGATAAAATGGCATGCATGGGTTCCATTACTGTCCTTGTTAACAAAGCAATCCAGAAAATAAACATAGTAGAACACAACAGCTGTCACTAATCTTCATGCAATGTTTTAACATGATCCAGGTTCCCATACATTGACCCTCTTAACAAAAAAGCCCCCACATGCCCCTGCTTTATGGAACCAACATTCGAACACTGCACAGACAACAGTGTAACTCTGTTAAGATGTAGGATTACAATCTTGATTCACTACTCTGTGGAGAACATGTTGCTGCACAGTCAGGGAACAGCCTCAATTGATAAGTGCGATGAGCTGTGGTCTGCCACATTATTCCCTACCCCCACCCTCTTACTGAGGAGTCAGGAGATGGACAGGTGGTATGGGAACCTGTTTTTGCTACCACTCCTTCCCAAAAATAATAAGGGAATTTTCGGTTACCTTGTATATCTAAAACAAGAGAAGGCAGATTAATATATCTGATTGGAAAGAAAGTTCTCGGAATTTCATGAACAATTATTACAACCCAGTTTATTTAAAAGCAAAATCATCTCAATCATGAATGTAATCACCATTGGCCTCTATCACTTCACGCCAACGTTTATGCAAACTATGGATGCCATTCCAATAGAACTCTGGCGGCTGC